TGGCAAATTTGAGAATCAGATTGCAGGGTCAAGAACAAACCCAAGTTGAACGATGTAATAGAACACTACTCGGAATGTTGAGAACTCTCCCTGAAGATCAGAAATCTAATTGGAAAGAGTTCTTAAACAAGCTCATGTATACTTATAATATAATGAAACAACAGCATCTTCTCCATTTTACCTTTCGAATAGGAGAGCCCTTCACTTGCCAATTGACCTCAGATTTGGTTTAACAGGGAATCAGGAATTAGTGGAGGACTATAGTAATTATGTGCAGAAGTGGAAAGCCTGAGTAAGAGAAGCTTTTAATTTAGTCAATGAAAACTCCAGAAAGTCAGCTCCCCAGAAGAAGGGTTACACAGATTACAGTGCCACTCTCTCCCCAGGAGATCAGGTACTTGTCCCAAATTTATCAGAGCATGGGGAACCTGCAAAATGAAAAGCCTACTCAGAAAAGCAAATCCACATTGTTACCAAAAAGATAAGGGATCATCCAGTATCCAAAGTGGTTCCAATACATCAGCAGGGAAGAGTGCCCACCTCAGGGCAGACTGTCCAAAGCACCCCAAACTGGTGGTATGTTCTATAATTAGATTTCACTAACCTAGTACCAAATATGAACTCCCAAAGTACTACAATAGTCTTATAATGGAGTCACAAACAGTCCCCTTAGACACTCCTGGCTATCTTGCCACTCAGGCAAGCTGGACTATGTGATAAATGGTCACTTACACCAAAAAAAATCACTAAATATTCAGATTGCTCCCAGTCCCACAAGACCAGTCACTCACACAGATCAATTTGCATCCTGCAGCTCACAGCAAAGACAATGTTGTTAGCCAATTCTGTGGTGAACTAACTAAAGGTTTATTAGCTAAGAAAAAGGAATGAGAGATAATGAGAGGTTAAAGCAGGTACAAATATATGTGCAGGTGAGTCACAGTCTATAATTTCAAAAGCTAGCAGAGATGTAGTCATCTGCCAGTTTCCAAAAGTCTTTTAGGGCTACCCAGAAGAACTCTGGGGATCTCCCTCTTCTCGTTCAGTTATTCTGCCCTCCTAGAATCCAGACAGTCCAGAGATAATGAACTTTTCCTTGCGTCCATATTTATAGCTTCTTCTCACAGAAAACAAGCTGACTGCTCAGCCACCCACATGGGCTCTTTCTTTGATAACAGAGAGAGGAATGCAGGTAGAGTCTTTGATCTGCTATCACCACATACAACGACCACTTCCTTTAAAAGGCACAAGAATTAGCATTTTCCTGTTAAAGTTCTTCACTTGCATTACACAAGGCTTCTTTCTTGTTTGATGTGTTATTTAGTTACAGGGGGGTTATACAATGTAAATGTTTGCTATTACATTCTAACGGGACACAGATAAGTGAAAACAATACATGCAGCGTCCCATTCATTTCCATGAAGTTTAAACACCAGATACAGTAGAACCTCAGTGTTACATATGCCTCAGGAATGGAGTTGTTCGTAACTCTGAAATGTTTGTAACTCTGAACAAAACGTTATGGTTGTTCTTTCAAACATTTACAACTGAGCATTGACTTAATACAGCTTTGAAACTTCACTGTGCAGAAGAAAAATGCTACTTTTAACCACCTTAATTTAAATGAAACAAGCACAGAAAGTTTCCTTAAAATTAAAACTTTTTTTTTAGTAATTTATGTTTAACACAGTTCTGTACTGTACTTTTTTTGCTTTGTTTTTGTCTCTGCTGCTGCCTGATTGTGTACTTCTTGTTCCAAATGAGGTTTGTGGTTGACTGGTCAGTTTGTAACTCTGGTGTTCATAATTGAGATTCTACTGTACAGTCTTATGCATTTAATAATCATTTTGATCTCTGCTAATGCACAGGTCAATTCACCTGACTTCCAGCTGTGAGTTTATCAGTTTCCAGCTGATGCCTATGCCTTGGCCAGATCTGGAACTTGGTCTGTCAGCATCACTCCCAGTTTTTCCAGGAACAGAATTGTTCTGACAGTTCAGATGGTGACATACAGATTCAATTCCTTAATCTTCAAGGTCAGAATAAAAACTGTGCCTGTTAACATTGGGGAACAACATCTGAAGAGCAACCAACTTATAATAACCAGCTCACTAAACAATAAGCTGTGGCTTATTGTCTCACTATTACAAATGACTCCCACAATGCTGGTGATTCTGATGGAAGTGCTGAGATGTCACCTGGAGCGAGGTCAAAGGAATCAATACCAGTATGGGGACAGGCAAACACTAATAGTCATTGACCTACCAGGATGAGAAAAGAATGGGGGGTATTCACATATGATCAGCTTGGGACCTCAAGTTTCTAGTATAGGAACCCACAGATCAATTTGGATAATCCCTCTGAAGTTGTGTGTCCAGAGTAACAGTTACTACAATATTTAGTGCCAGTGAATTTAGGTCCAACGATATATATACCAGGATTAATTGCATAAGAGATCCTGTCATATTTAAATTGTTAATTTGAAGTATAGGCATATCTCAGTCATTACACAATAAGTTTATGTTCTAAAAATCAAACTGGTGACACCAGAAGTCTTGGTCCCTAGGTAGTAAAGGATTTTTTCATGTTGGAACCAAATAAAAGTGTTACAACAAAGTAAGCCTTACCTGTAACACATGGACTGTGTTACAGGTGTGTGCTGTATGTTTATACTGACTGAGATCATAAACAATCCTGTATTTGCAAAGGATGGAATCTGCATTTTGAAGCATTACATAAACAGTCTGCTTGGAATAAGCCGATCCAGCCCTAAGTTAAGTACAGCACAGAGTGGGTGAGGTCTCTCACCCGTAGGCTATTGAAGCACGCTGTGTTTAAGATCCCTGAGATAAGTAACCCTAACATAGCCTTGTTTTGACTGGAAAGAAGCCTCCAGCATTAGAAGCTGAACTTGTGAAAAAAATGTATCTTGCATCTTCCCCTCCCCCTTTAATCTGTATGAATTCTGGGAGCTGCAGATAACCTTCAGCGTTTGCTTTACATTACAAAATATCATCTCAGGACTAACACACACAAGCCCGTAAAAAAACAGTTAAGGGAAGAAATCACAATACAATTTCCAGAACAATCAAAGGAATATTTGGTTCACACTTATGATACTAAAGAGCGTTTAGTTAGTAAACATCAGGGAAAGCCCCTTAAATAATTTATCTGGCACTATAACTGCTCAGTCAGTCTCCCTCCCAATATGTCCAGGGACTGGAAAGGCTACAGTTTAAACAATTGGGCACATGAGTAAAACAAGCCTTTGCAAACATCCATTTGTATGTACAATCATTGCCATTGCATTGCATTGCAATTGCAAACATGTGTTTGCACATGTTCCTGTTGGTGTCTTTTAGCATACATAGTGACAGCTGGAATCAGCTGGAGTTCTTTTGACAGCAGTCCATAGATTTGATTGGCAGAGGGGGGCAGGGATCAGAGTCCATGTCGTGCTCCTCATCAGTACCTGGCCCAGGCCGGGGAAGCTAATGATCCAACCAGCAGATCAGATTTGGTGATGAATCCTGGTCACATGGCACCTGAGGCACGTTGCATATATGCTAAGAAGATTTGCAAAGGCCTGGAGGCAGAATGCTCTCAGGAAGGCCCTAAGCTTTGGAAATTGCTTTTCTATTGGTCATACAAAGCCCTAGGCTTTCTCTACATGATAGTGGATACAAATACATGGCTGCCCCAGTATCCACGCTAATCTAGTTACACTGCGGCAGACCTCCACCATAGCCGTGCTACACGGGTGTTAAGTGGGCCTTGCACTAGCGCAGCCCATCTACACTGGGTCTGGGGGAGAGGGGTGCGATAATGGGGCTGCATTGCAAATTGCAACCTTCCATTGCTCCAATGCAAAAATCCCTAATGTAGACACGCCCCTAGACTCACCCTACAGAACAACCGCTGTGTAAGACTTCTGAAATGAAGACCTCAGAAAACAGAGATGATTTACAGAGAGCAGGGGTCATTTCTTTTGAGACAAATGTTGTGACGGGGCATGGCGACCATACGCCTGCCTCTTCCACAAATGCAGACCACTCTGAGACCTTCTTGCTTATAAACAGCAGCATGTACTTTATTTACAGTGCCTCAGTCCCTCCACCACTACATATCAATGCATCCATACCTTTGCACTGTCGTCTAGCTTTCCAGCCCCTCCTCTGTGTGTGTTTGTGTATGTGTGTAGGAGGGGGGTGTTGTGTGGGGATGTCTGTGTTCGGAGAACTCCCCTTGTCACCTCTCCTAGTCTTCTCTTGCTTGCTTGCTTGCTCGCTCGCGCTCGCACTCGAACTCGAACTCGCGCTCTCTCTCTCTCTCTCTCTCGCTCTCTCTCACACACCCACACACGTATGATCACTCTTTTGCACATACTCTCCACAAGCACTTCCTTCCCATGCTCTTTTTAAACCACTCGCCTGTTAATGGGCTAATGAGCTCATTCATTTCCTAACCCCAGTCTGGCCTAGTAATCAAGCCCACCCTTGACCAATTAGGCCTTCTCCAGGTGAACCTAACTGGTGCTAATAGTGACCAGAGTGCTGGCTCAGGTTTCATCTCTCAGCACTTTGTCACAAATGTATTTAAGGCTGACCTTACCTCCAGTCTCAGTTTCTGCTCCCCTCTCATTCCCAGGCTCCTTATCCCAATCTACTCTCCCCTGTCCCTAGTGGGTCCAGCTATTGTCCCCTTTGCAATTAAATCAGACAGCTCCCTTCTCCTCCAGGCTGGCTGAGCCCATCAGGGCATAGGCACCAACTTCTCCTGGTGCTGGTGGGTGCTCGACCCCCCTCTGCCCCTGACCTTGCCCCAACTCCACCTCTGCCCTGTCCCCTCCCGCCCCCATTCCAACCCCTTCCCCAAAGTTCCCGCCCCAACTCCGCCCCCTCCCTGCCCCTATTCTAACTCATTCCCCAAATCCCCATCCTGGCCCTGTCTCTTCCCTGCCTCCTCCCCTGAGCGTGCCATGTTCCCGCTCCCCCCCCCCCCCGAGCTTGCTAGAGCTGTTTGGCGGCGGCAAGCGCTGGGAGGGAGGGAGGAGTGGAGACTTGGCATGCTGGGAGGAGGCAAAGGAGGAGGAGGAGGTGGTGAGGCAGGGGGACGGGGTGGGGAGTTTGGCTGCCAGGGGGTGCAGAACACCCACTAATTTTTCCCCGCGGGTGCTCCAGCCCCGGAGCATCCACAGAGTCGGCGCCTATGCAGCAGGGAGCTTATTGAGAGCACAGGAGAGACAGGCTCCCCACTCTCAGTTCAGGGACCTGGACCTAGCATGGCCTGCAGAAGCCCAGGGCTACAATCACAGGGAAAGTTCTGCCTGTCCTGGGCTGGAGCATGCCTAGTGTGGTTGGAACCTTTGATGATTTTTGCTGCGAGGCAGTAGCAAGTCTCTACTGAGCACGTGTGAACTGCAATTTTCCAAAGGCTTATGACTTGGCCAAATTTGGGCAGGTTTTCATAGTAATGGCAAAAGGCACCTCCGTGAAAGAAAGCCACTTCCCTACCAAATTTCAAGTCATGGATCCAAAGCATGAGGGCATTAGAGCTTTTCAAAGAAAAATGTCACCAGGAATTTTTTAACATGGACACAACTATGTATTTTTCCCAGCTTCATTCTTGGAAATGACAATCATTTCAGCTGAAATTTTCCAGAGTAATTCAACCTGAGGCAGACACATGGCACAGAAAAAAATCAGCCGAAATGGTGGTATGCAGGCAAAGTTATAAGCAACTGAAAACAGGCTCTTATAATAGGAAGTGTCAGGCAACTTTAATAATTGGTGGTGCTACCAACCCAGCCTATAATATACATGAAACATGCAATAAGGGGCAACTATTATAGGGACACACCAATCACTTTAAAGCAGCCCATCCACTTTAAAGTCTTTCATTCATCCTTTTAATTAAAGATCCAGCTTCACTGGGCAGCCAATTTTTGCTATTCCTCTGAATCATCAAAGACACGTTTCACTCTGTGCGCTGGGCTTGATTCTCCATTGCCCTGCACCTTGTGTGTAACTTGGTCACACCACTACAAAGTGGGTGTGAAACTCTGTGGGCCAGATTCCACTCTCTACTCCCAGCTTAGGAGGGTAGGGGAAACCATATTGGATATGGAGCCACCATGATAGGTTCTATCTACTGTCCTTCCTGTGGCTCAGAAGTCATGGCTGGGGAAAGGGGTCATGGTCGGGGCATCCCTGTACTCCTCTGATCCCTAGCTGCCATTGATTGCACAAGTTACAGCAATCTCCAGCTGTTCTAATTTGGGCAAGGAGACAGGCCTTGGATTGAATGGCTGCTGGATCAGGGGACACAAACATGGCTAATCAGGCCCCATCTGTCTATAAGGCTCATTGGCACCCTGTGCCATGCAAGGTGCCATCCAGATGTACTGTTAGTAAAATAAAATGAGAACCGCTGCAATTCTTCATTGTTGTTAGATGCTTCCTTGCAATGGTTTGATTTCCAAACCCCGAATGGAAGCTTTTGATTTCTCTGTAGACAACACAGTCTATTCTGAACTCGCACAGAATGCGTAACTCTCTTTATGAATTACCCCTGCGCAATAGGCTAGCTCTCAATCACCATCCACCACTCTCAGCTCATTCCTCTGTCTCCCTACCACCACTAACAATGTCCTGACTCCCCCACCTGGCAGGAGAAAATGTGCATTATTCATCAGATGAAGGATAGGTTGCTACCTTCGTAAAAATACTGTACCTCCCAATATGGATACGATTTCTGCCAGCCCTCTGTACTACTGGCAAAGAATGGCAACATCTCAATAATACTAATAATTCATTAACAATCGTCCATGCTCTGAGCCTTTGGATTTGCATAGTTTTCTGATACAGGGAAGCCAGGTTTTTAGCAATGCCCACCCCATCTGTCTTCTCTCTGCAGAGGAATTTATCCCTGTTTTTTAGAAGCCAGTGGGGAAACTGGGTCTGTTTAGTATTCTCACCTAGTTACAGTCAGTACGCAGTGTGCTGCTACTGGGAAATAAATGTGTGTGCCTTCCTGGACTTAGGAGAAGACACTATGTACCAACTTTTTTTTTTAATATATTCTCTTGAAAAACACGATTACTTCAAATCTGGGGAATGTTTTATACAGATTTCCTTACTTGGTAAATAAGGCTACAGCTGCCTTGTTTATTTGTTAAAAGAAATGGTAACAATAACATATGCATTTATTAAGAGGGGTATGGGAGGAAAGCTCTCTAGGTTCCCCCCACCTGTCATTTCCCCAAGTCCCTAACTACTATCTTTAAATGGCCTGAAACATGACAACACCGTTCCCTTGCTCTGCCCAATACCTGGGGAGTTCTCTCATGATAACGCCCTCTTCATTCTGCCCATGTGCTTCAGGACTAAGGTGCAACTCAAATGGGTCACAGTAGTACAAGCAGCATAGTCCAGTGGAGGAGGCATTGGCCTGGGACTCAGGTGACCTGAGTAATTCCATTCCCCGCTCTGCCATTGACCTCCTTGTGTGATTTTGAGCAAATCCCTTTACCGCTCTGTGCCTCAGTTTCCCCATGTTTCAAAATAGGGATAATGACACTTACCCTCTTTTGCAAAGAGCATTTTTCACCCATACATCCTAAAGCAAAGTACTACTGTTAATGGGCTATCACACAGGAACCCAGCAATGCTACACAACAGGAAACTGATAAAGGCCAAAAGAATTGGAGGGGAAGAGTGAATCAAGGAAACGGGACAGTGTAGACGGGGGATAACCATGGAGCAGCAGGGAGAGAAAAGGCTACAGGAAGGACAGAGAACAAGGAGAAGACAGACAGGGCAAAGGGGGAGAGAGATACTGGGTTAGATAGACTGTATGTCTGATCAAGTATGGCAATTCCTACAAATATCAGGGATTAGAGAAGAGAAATAATTGGGGGAAGAAAATCACAGAGGTTAGAAAGGGAAGAAAAGAAATACAGAATACAGCTGATTGGTTCTGATTGTGCAGGATTGTTTCTGATTGCACATTTTCTAGTTCTTTGCCCCCATCTATTTTGAAATATCTCACTCCCACTATTTCCCTTAGGGGACCAGCAACAGCCTAATAGATCTACCAATGTGACATTTTTCCTGATAGGCTACATTTTCTTTTCCTATATCTCCTCCTTTGTCTCTTCGTTATTCACCCTTGTGCTTCACTAAACAATTCCCCTTCATCTCAGTGCTTAGACCCTTGAAATATTTTAAACTGTTATCACAGCCCCCCACACAGTCATCTCATAGCCAAATGATACATATTTTATCCTACCCTCATAAATCAGGAGAGACTCTCAAAGAAGCCAGTGAAAGAACAATCTATAAGCTATTTTCGGGGCATATATGCACTAATAAAACTGCCATGGTCATTTTTCTTATTAACACACCCACCACACTAACATGCTTGTGCTTAACAAATGCTAAATATTCAAGAAACTCTGCTTTCCCCCTTCCCACTCCTCCACAAACACACAGCTCTTTGGGGTAAGGACCAGAGCCCCAAGACTTAATTTGTCATACCAGAACATTTTCAAATTCTGTCAGATGTAAATAAGATCAGGAGTTTGCTGACTTGCCTGACAGAATTTATATGCTCATTTTAGCCCACAAAACACATAACCTCCCTATAAGGACATAGCCAGCAATTGGCTAATGCTCTGATTGGCAACTAACCGGAACTAGGAGTAAACATTCTTGCTGCAGACTGAAGGGAACCTGCACCATGAATGAATGGCCTGAAACTCTTTGTGCATCTAGTGTGAGCAGATAGAACAAGGGCAGTCTCTGAAACTAACCTGAGAAATTGAAGCCATCCGATTAAAAATGAAATCAAACAACTCCAGAGACAAGTTTTACTCTGATTCCTATTGTGTTTGGCTTCTGCCTCTAGCTTTCTCTTGCACTAAGTGTACTGGGTGGTGGGTTAAGGGATAACAATAGCTGCATTTGTACCAAAGGAACTGAATCCCTAGAGTTTTTCTGAAGTTAACATAAATGTGGATGGTTAATGTAAACATGTCCTACACAGTTTCAATGTTCATTTGTGTTTCCCTGAGAAGCATGGGGGTGGGATCTTCCATGTGTCACTTGCAAAGTTCTGAAAAATCCCCTCCCCATTTCTCGTACACTCTGGCACCCTCACAGAAGCACACAGCACATTCCCAAACACTTGTTGCATTCAAACAGCTTAATTTTGGTAATACTGCGTTGAGGTCGCAGGCAGCTCGGGAGGTTGATGGTGCTAAAACTTTGTCCTGGGCATATTACCAGCTGGAAGGATATCACAGGATGCTAGCCCACCAGAGAGACAGGAACATAGGATTGCAACACTGGAACAGACCAATATTTCATCTAGTCCAGTATCCTGTCTCCAACAGTGACCAATGCCAGATGCTGTGGAAAGGAAGGCATAAAACACCCGTAAGGCACCTAATTGTGCATTACACAACAGGGAAAGTTTCTTACTGTCACCTGGTGGTGATCAGATTCTGCCTTGAAGCATGAGGGCTTACATGCCTTGTAAGTTTAGTTTCGCAAGTCTGACTGCAGATGCTGCTTGTCAACTGCAAACAGGCCTGGCAGGACCTGAGTGTGAGCAACATGTCCAGAAGAGGGTTTTTGTTAAGAGTTAGGGTGGGATTTTCAACACCGCACAAAGTTGCCCGGTTCTGCTCCTATTGAAGTCAATGGGAGTTTTACAGTTGACTTAAATGGGAGCAAAATTAGGCCAACACTGAACACTTAAGCCAACCCATATTTATTATCTTCAGACTTGGGTTTATGAGGTCTGATGCTTACCATAGAGTTGTTTCAATTATCTGAAGGTGATGATGACCTTTGTCCTTACTATTCCGGCAATCTCTCACAACAATCTGGGCCTTCACTGTGAAAAAAAAAATCAAAGTAAAAATAAGGACTTTCTCAGAGCTCCACCATGCAAAATAAAACTATGTTTGCTCATTCGGTGACCCCCATCTTTTTCCAAGTGGCTCAGAAGACACTATAAAACCACTGAAAAAATATATTTTAAAAATGAATCACCGCCTTAAACTATAGATTAAAATGCAAGGGAGGCCCAATCCAAAAAGTTCAAATATGTTATAGACTATGTTTTAAATGTTACCAGAATCCAGTGGCGTGTGACTATGTTGTTCCATTTGGGGCCTGTAACTCTTCCTAGTACCTTTTAAATTGTTTAATTCTCCCTGTACCCCAAATAGTGCTTGCTAGCATCTCTCAGTCACTGTTAGGCTGTTAGACACTATAGAACGCACTAAAATGTTTCAACCTCACATTACTACCCTGGGATAACTTACTCAGTAGGGTGGTCACACTCCCTTAGGGGAAGAGTCAAGTAGTGGGAGGGGTTTTCTGTAATGACCTGTATCCACATGGTGGCCTACTCAGTCATGGGTGGTGCCAAGACTTCTGGGGGCACATCCCATGGTGCATAGGGTCAGCTGCATCACTGTATGACAGCTCTCAATGGGTACTGCAGGAGAACTTGTTTGTCCCTTTGGGGGCTTGTGGGTGGAAATGGTGCAAAGCAGGCAACTCACACAATTAAACCTGCTCCAGGTAGTCACACTCCTGGTTTCTGCCTGCAGTCTATGTTGCAACTGGCAGTGAGGCATGGAGCCTACTCAGAGCAATGACTTGTACCTGATGTTGGCATTAGTGCAACTCATTTTGGGGAGAGGAAGACAAAGCAGGGCACAAAAGGCTGTGGTGGGTATTTTGGCAGTGGCCACCACTTGACACTTCTCAAGTAGAGTGTGTGAGCTGCATGCAAAGCTGGAGAAGTGGAGGCAGTTTCTAATGGCAGGTGAATCCTCCTGTACTGGCCTCTGGATGGCCGGCAGCAGACTGAGACAATGACTTGGCAGTGTGCATTCTTGAACATTGGAGCTCTGGACCAGAGATGAGCACAGTTGCTGCTACTGAGAGCCATGGACAGCTGGGGGTACAAATCACTGTGCAGGCCTATTTGCGGTGGTAGTGACTTCTGGTCAGTACACAAGGAATAGATAGATGGCAAGAAAAAGACATGGGTCAGGGAGGTCCCAGAGGATTGTGGGAAGGCATTGAAGGACTCAGCCCTAGACTGTTCTGCCACAGTGCTAGAGACAGGTGGAATAAGCAACTCTGAGGGAAGCCCGCTTGAGGCCTGCCTCGTGCCCCCAGACTTGCTAACTTGTGCACTTACCACAAAAACAAGAGTGATGGGGTTTTGTGTCTGGACACCGGTTGAGTTAAGGGAACACTCAAGCTGTAACCCATCTTAAATGACTAGGGCAAATCCCTTAGGGAGGGAGATCACAACCTCCCCCATAGCTGAGTTATGAGTCACCCTGACTCTGCCACTTCTAAGGTCATATTTTAGTTCAATAATTATAATTAACAACCCCCCATTTAGCAATTTCCATGTTCAAAAGCCTTTACTACCACCAACTAATTAACTTTTGTCTCTTTGGTGACGGTCAATGACAGTCCCAATTATAACATCTGAGACAGCAGCCAAATCGCCTTAAACAGCAGCAGATTTGATTGGCAAATTATTACACAAGTGGAAAGAAAAAAATCACAAAATAAAAGAGAACTGGAAAGAATCATAGACCCATAGAAGACTAGGGTTGGAAGAGACCTCAGGATGTCATCTAGTCCAACCCCCTGCTCAAAGCAGGACCAATCCCCAACTAAATCATCCCAGCCAGGGCTTTGTCAAGCCGGGCCTTAAAAACCTCTGAGGATGGAGATTCCAACACCTCCCTAGGTAACCCATTCGAGTGCTTCACCACCCTCCTAGTGAAATAGTTTTTCGTAATATCCAACCTAGACCTCCCCCACTGCAACTTGAGACCATTACTCCTTGTTCTGTCATCTGCCACCACTGACAACAGCCGAGCTCCATCCTCTTGAACCCCCCTTTCAGGTAGTTGAAGGCTGCTATCAAATCCCCCCTCACTCTTCTCTTCTGCAGACTAAACAAGCCCAGTTGCCTCAGCCTCTCCTCGTAAGTCATGTGCCCCTGATCATTTTTGTTGCCCTCCACTGGACTCTCTCAAATTTGTCCACATCCTTTCTGAAGTGGGGGGCCCAAACTGGATGCAATACTCCAGGTGAGGCCCCACCAGTGCTGAATAGAGGGGAACGATCACTTCCCTCGATCTGCTGGCAATGCTCCTTGTAGTTCAGGCACTGAACTGGGACTCAGGAGAGCTGGGCTCATTGCCTGGCTCTGCCATCAACACCATGGGTGAAGTTGGCCACATTGTTGAATCTCTGTGCCTCTCAGTTCCTTATCTGAGAAACTGAGACAATACTAGTTCCTTTCTCCCACCTTTCCTCTGCCTTGCCTATCTAGATTGTGAACTCTTCAGGGCGGGGATTCTGTCTGTACAGTGCCTGGCACAATTGGACTTCTGCTGGACCCTCTAAGCAAATAATCTACAGTAAGAATACATACATCTAGCTGTATACTAGAGAGACTATTTCTTGGCAGGTGTCATGGTATCTGCTCTACACACCACTCAGTGGTACCTTCTTGTGGCTCATCTGGGGAATTAGCTCTTCCACCTGGTTTGATGCTCCTTCCTGCAGTTAGCCAGCCTCCACGGTATCACAAGCCCTTTGAGGCAAACTGTCCTAGGTGTTCCACTCTCAATTGCATGGTCTGTAGCTGGTAGGGGAACCCAGGCCTGCGCTCTACACCAGGTTCCAGCCCAGGGACCCTCAACCCAGCAGCTCTGGGCTTTTACTCTCCCAGCCCTTACTGCTCCTTTGCTGGACTCCTTCCTGCTCTCCCCCCTTGTTTCAGGGAATGCAACTGCAGGTCTCCTCCCTGAGCATGACAACTTTCTCTCTTTATAGATTCTTCCCAGCTCCTCTGCCCAGCTGGACTTCATCTGCAGTTAGGATCTAGGTTTCTCCCTAGGTTTCTTTCAGGTGCAGCGTAAGATTAATTGGCCTCATTTAGCCCTTCAAGCCTTGTATGGAGTGGACACCCCATCACACCAGCTCCTAAGTTTAAGTTACAGAATAGCAAAATATTGCCAGTGACTTAGCAGGAAAACTCTATTGTCTGGTCCACTGTTCAAAGGGGCAGTTTCTCAGACAGGTGTCACATGTTCCAGTGGTTTGTGTGTGTCACCAGAGTTCCTCCCTTCTTATAGCCTGCCCTAGTAGGTTAAGACTGCATTGGTCTTATGTCCTCATTTAGACTAACATGGTGGAAACCCATTTGATTAGACTTTTGGATGACTCGTGCCTCTCGTTATCTCTGACCTGCATAAAATGTTAGGCCATTTTTTTTCTCTAAAGTATTCCCTCCTACCCCAGCATCAATATCCTTTCACATCATGGACACAGGCTTTTGTCAAACTGTAAATTGTGAGGTTTCTCTCACATTAATATTACATTGTGAATGTGTATTTGCTCCCCACACCCACAGAAAACAGCTTTTTGATTAGAAACAACATAGCCAAGAGATATCAGATCTACTATATTAACAACACATTGGCTCTTAGTCGGGTAGAACAATGACAAACCCCAGTTCTTCATAGAACTGTCTGTCAAAGGGCTTGACCTTGACCTTCAGAGCTTGACCTTAACTGCCAAATTTGGGTCCAGCTCCTATACTAATCTTTGGTGCAGGAACTATCTGTTTAATAAGTACAGTGCCCAGTGGGGACCTTAGACATAACAATTAATAAATAAAATACCATACAAGACCTAAATAATAATAACAATGAATAAAGTTCCCCAAGGTGGGGTGGTCAGGTCCAATGGTCCACCTGAGGCCCATTCCACACTCGGGGAGAATCATAGCACTTACAGAATAAAATTATTTGCAGTGGCTTTCTGCAGATGAGGACAGCTCACCAGTGGCAGACCATAGCACAGTCTTGGTTCTGTTACTTCAAACCCGGGAGGATCCCAGAGCCCAAAGAGAAGGACAATACAATGGCTACGTCTCAAGCCCTGTTTTTATATGTGACTTTTCACCCAATACATCTTTCTCTCGCTGAGTCATCAACCCGCAGGGGGTTGGCAGTGTTTGCACTGTATCCCCCTATCCTAAAGGGTTTTAAAACAGGTTTAAACAATTAACTCTGGGCTGACTTGCAGCATACAGGATCTTAAGTATTGTTTAGCTGGAAAATAAAAGCCGTTGAAAGGCTGCCAAAAAACATTATGGTTAGTGTTTTAATATGCTCTTTAGTGCTCCTATAACTAACTGCTCCATGGGGTGCACGTTGGCCTTAAAGAGAGGCAATTACAGTCTAACCTTTGGGTAAAGGTTTGGGATGTGCCAGGGTTACCTAAAGGTGGCTCTTTGCCCCAGATGGCTAATAAAATAACTGGGAAGATACTGGGTCCAGCATAGGTGGCCATATTTTAAAAAGTAAAAAAAGTAGAATACTTTTCTGGTGACAATTTTAGCAACATGAAATAATCATAGAAAAGACAAAGTACCCTTCTTTTCCCAAATGGCATCCTGCTGTCCCTACCACTAACTAGCTTCTCAATAGTGAGATCGGCATCTTTCCACTTTCCCTCGTTCTAAAGAAGTTTATTATGAAACACTGACCAAGTGCCACTAACATTCAGTTTGAGCCAATGGGCAGCTTAGGTAGTCTCTATGATCATTTGACTTTTCTCTTTGCTCCAAACGCTGTTCATAGTTCTTGGACACTGGACAGTGTGTCCCTAGAAAACACAGTTTAAATACGAGGTGGTGCAGCAAATCATCTTAAACCAACATTGTAAAGTTATTAAAAAAAAAACAACCCTGCAAATGTTCTGATTGGTTAAATAAAAAAATTGGGACTGTCCTAGTGAAACTGGGACATATGACCACTTTTAGCTGTTGACTGGGTTTCC